CTTATGACACTGGACACGTTTAAAAGAGGGGTCTCCGGAACTGTGGGGGAGGGGGAACAGTGATTTGCTTTAAATCTATGCTGTAGCACTTGAAGCATAATTGTTGTATTATGTAGAAGAGAAAAAACATGACCGGAGAGAGATGAACGGCACGCACGCACGCACGCACGCACGCACCACACACACACACACAGACAACACCACGCACGCACGCACACATACAACACACACACGTTGCATGCATGCCTTGACGGCCGGCTTCAACGTATTCTGAGTACGATGCACTGGAACGGAAATATTAAAACTAGGGTCTCGCGAACGGCAAAATGTAAGATCTGCCATGGTAACTAAACTTAATGCTCTGGAGAACGAGATATTCTTAAAAATGCGATGCACTGGAATTAAAGTTTAGGGTTAGGGTTGAAATGGGGTCTCTCCGCGGCAATACCTACCATGCAATATATATGGAGTGCCCCCGACCCAGCACGACCCAGTTAAGGCTCAACAATGCAATGGTCACGCATGTGCACCTAGACATGTAGACAAGGTAGATGAACAGGATTAATTTCAGAATTTGTAAGTTGCCATCCAGGCAGAAAGATCAAATTGGAATAATAAAAAATAAAATGACAAGTTATCTGACTGGACTGTCTGATATTACTATTAATACTGATCAATTAGAGGTGTTATATCAGTGCTCTAAGATTTGGAATGTGTATTTAATATGACAATGTGCCTATTCAAATTCAAACTTCAAAACATACAGATGTACATAGTGAAAGTATAAATGCAGATTGAAAATATGCTTATTTTTCATAATTATGTACTGATAGTATATACAATTTTGTAAATAAGTTTTTTAGTTATCATACTCATAATATATATTTTAGATACTTTAGTCAAAACATCAGCTTTAGCTACATTCCTCTTTGAAATTTACAAATTGACCTTTTAAATATGATCAGAATTGGTTGCTTTCACATGGCCTGAAAATGCAGGAAATGCCATTTCCAGGCTCTACATTTCAAAAATTTTCTGGGGGAGTACCCCCGCATCGGATACATATTTCTGCAGTGGCACTTTTTGGGAGGCCACTACGGCCCTGCTAATATGCCGGACCGTACCTCTTCTACTCCACTAACGTGTCTAGGGAGTCGCCCACGCCTACTCCCTAACCTTAACCCAAACCCTAACCCTAACCCTAACTCTAATCCTAACCCTAACCTTAACACTAACCCTAACCATATCAGCTAGATAGTTACCAGGGTACATTCCGGTATACCGGACCGTACCCAGGGTACGTTCCGGCAGTACCCTGGGGGACATAGACCCTATCAGCGATAGTGATAGTGATAGTGATACCTAGCCACAAGTTCCTTCTCGCTTACACTACGTTTCCTACACAGGCACTGTTGTAGCGTTTCAGTAAATATAATGCTAACTAAATACGAAATTTATTTACTAGTACAAAATTCTTAATGTTTCTATACTATTGGCCAACTGGCAGCCATTGCTCTCGCGGCGCGACTGTTGCAGCTTGCACTAATATATAGAGTGCACTCTATATATTAGTGCAAGCAGGCAACAGTCGCGCCGCAAGAGCAATAGCTGCCGGTAATGCAATGGTAGGAAACTATTGGTGATAATAGGTGAAAGAGAGTAGGCCTATAGTGGAGAAAGAAACATTAAGAATTTTGTACTAAGTAAATAGATTTCGTATTTAGTTAGCATTATATTTTATTGAAATGCTTCAAGTGCCTGTGGTTTCCTATGCCGTGTAACAGTCGGAGAGCCTGGTCGGTTTAAGTGATACCGTACTGCGTACGGTGTAGCCGTAACGTGTAGTGTGTTACAGTCCCACTCCACTCCTCTCAAGTCTTATCTTGACTTGATTTGTCCTGTGTTTTTACTTGTATTGTCACTTGAGTGTTGACTTTAAAGTTAGTATTAACACACCGTATCAGACACATCATGTCTCATGACACATGTCATGTGTTGCAGTGGCGTTAATTTATTCATTTTTTTTAGACAAATCTAATAATACTAGTTCTGCCAGCTGATAACGACAAGGACCCTACCGTCACAATGGATTTCGATGTTGCCCGCGCAGCAAGCGCCCGGAGGCAAAGTCACTGTAGTACATCCGAAGCAGATGAATTGCCAGCCACCCAGCCGATCGATGACAGAGTCCTCAAGGACGTCGTCGCGTACATAGAGGTACGATGCCTCACGGAAAATCGCACCAGAGGCATCTCGAAACAAATCGAGATGCTCGGTGCCACCGTCATGCCAAAGTTCACCAACGACGTCACGCACGTCGTATTCAAGGGCGGCAAGCGCACGACCCAGCAGAGGGCGCTGAAGCTCGGTGTCCACCTGGTGTCGGTGCTGTGGGTGGAGAGCTGCCGGCAGAACCAGACGCACATGTCCGAGAACCTCTATCCGGTGGCGAGTCCTGGTAAGTCCACTCCCATCGTCGGCCGGCTGCGAAAGATGAAGAGCATGCAGCCGAAGGAGTTTGACGAGGAAGTGGCCCGCAGCGCCGATCGTCAGCAGCGCAGGCAGCGCATGCGCAACAAGAAGAACATGCGCGAGTTTCTCTTCAACACGCCCGAGCAGGGCAACAGCCCGCTGTTCGTCGCCGAGACGCAGCCGCGCCGCTCCGCCGACGCTGGCAGCGACGTCTCGCTCTCCGTGCCGGACACTCCGACGTACGTGCAGCAGTCGCGGCTGCGCACGGAAATCATGCAGAGGCTGCGAGCCGGCGCGTCGTCCGGTGACAGCTCGGCGTCGAGCGCGGGCGACGCGACGCGACAGGACAGCGTCGTAAAGTCGCCGGCGATGGATCGCCTCAACAACGTGAGCCCGGTGCACCGCAAGCTCTTCAGGAACCCCTCGGCGAGGGACGCGACAAAGCGGCCGCGCTGCGATTCCGACGACTCCGGCACGGTCTCCCACGGAAGCAGCAGCAGCGACGGCGAGCAGGCAGCGGCAGGTCGTGTCAGCCCCGGCGGAGGTCGTCCGCCCGTGAAGCCGAGTAAGAAGAAGAGAAAACTGTGGCTGTCAACGCAGGAGCCGTCGTCTAAGCTCTGCACGCCGCACGAGACGTCCCGCGCGGAGGTGTCCGGCTCTGAGATCATGATCGGAGGGAAGAAGAGAGCCGGGAAGCCCGCTAGACCCGCGTGGAGTCGGCGAAACGACGCAAATTCAACGAGCACTGTCATCGAAATCCTTAAGACAGTGATGGCGCCGACGCGGACGAGTCTAGAGGAGTTCAAACCCTCGGCCGCCCGGAAACCACGCCGATCTGCTGAGAAGAGTTCTGCCGCAGATGGGTCCAATGTTGCCGCGAAGCAACGGCGCAGCGGTGGAAGCACCAGCAGTCAGAGCAGTCGCAGCAGCAGCATCGTCATGACGAGTCTGCATGCGAGCGAGCAGGAGCTGGTCATCGCGATCGTCGGCAAGCTCGGCCGCTTCCGTCTCCGCGACGACGTCGGCTGCGACACGACGCACGTCGTCTGCGGCCGCGAGCGCCGCACGCTGAACGCGCTCGCGGCGATTGCGCGCGGATGCTGGATTGTCTCCGTCTCGTGGGTGCTCGAGTCGCTCGAAACTGGCGCGTGGCTCGCCGAGACGCCCTACGAGTGCGTCGCGTGGTTTCCGGCCGCCCGGCTCGCGTGTGCCGAGCGGGAAGCGGCCGGCGGTGGCGACTCCTACCGGCAGGCGGTGTTTGCGCGGTGTGGCCGCGTACACGTTGGCAACACGGACGCTCCAGAAGAGAAGATGGTCAACCTGCTACAGCAGTGCGGGGCGGAGGTGACGGCGTGCCATCGCAAGGCCGACGTCTGTGTTGGCGGGCGGACGAGCAACCAGCACGCCACGCACGTGACGGAGAAGTGGGTCTTCGATTCGATCACGGCGCACGAAGCACAGCCGCTTGCGCGATACGCTGTCACGGAGCAGGGTAGGTCAGCCAGCCCCGAGTTCTAAGTGCAGCTGGCTCACTCGTCAGTATTTAGTTCAAACTTGCCAAAATTGTGAACAGACAAAGTGTTAGAGTGTCACGTTTTGAATGTGAGTAAAGCTTGGTATTTTACTAAAATTAAATTCTAAGTAGTGTTAGGGTTAGGGTTAGGGTTAGGGTTAGGGTTAGGGTCACAATGCACCATAAAAGGAATTATTAAAACAGGAGTTTCAGGCACGTGATTTGTATCAACCAATGAGAGTTGGGAGGTATGCAGGCCCTAGCTGCGAGTGCGAGGTACTACTAGATACAATAATGTAACCAAAACTCAGGAGGATAGGGTTACAAAGCGTCCCTATCCGTTTGTGTGGAGGAAATTCAGGGAACCCCTGTCCCTGAGTGAATCACTCAGGGCGGTTTGCTGGTGCGTTTTCAGAGACTAGAACTTCCAAACTGGGTTTATTCTCAACACAATTAAACCTTTCTCCGCTATCTTTGAACTTACTATGTATCACAATACTCTGTATTAAACTAATATAACCTGTTACAAAAATTCGAAGTGACAAGCGGCGGATATTTCAAGCGCCATTTCTGTTGACCTGTGACGTACTTCGGTTCGAAGAGCGGATTCACCGACCAATCGGAGGGCGCTGCGATTGCCGATTGCTATGCGCATTGGGAATGCGTACGTCACAGGTCAACAGAAATGGCGCTCGAAATATCCGCCGCTTGTCACTTCAAATTTTTGTAACAGGTTATATTAGTTTAATACAGAGTATAGTGATACATAGTAAGTTCCAAGATAGCAGAGAAAGGTTTGTGTTGAGAATAAACCCAGTTTGGAAATTCTAGTCTCTGAAAACGCACCAGCAAACCACCCTGATTGATTCACTTAGGGGTTCCCTGAATTTCCTCCACACAAAAGGATAGGGACGCTTTGTAACCCTATCCTCCTGGGTTTGGGTTACATTATTGTATCTAGCGAGGTACGGTCCAGCATATTAGATAGTACCAGCAGAGCATATAAATCACGTTGATTTATATGCTCTGGTACCAGGGTACGTTCCGGTATACCGGACCGTACCCAGGGTACGTTCCGGCAGTACCCGGGGGGACATAGACCTTTTCAGCCCTACTGATAGTGATGCTGATAGGGTCTATGTCCCCCAGGGTACTGCCGGAACGTACGTCACAACCACAAATGCACCTTGAATAGTGAATACATCACAGGTTCAGCTAAACACAGAACTATTACGGCTAGCCAAAATAGTGGAATGGCTGCCTGTACGAGCGAGGAGGATCGATTGTTTATACGCGAAGTCTCTTGCGGCTGGGGTCCAAGGCCCGCGTAAGGGCCCTGGCAGCTCAGGGGGTTTGAGAAAGCGGCCCGCGAGGCACGTGTGAATGGCTGTGCACATCGACGCTGCGTAGCGTACGTGCCTGCTGGCAGGGGCGGCATTGATTGAAGTATGGGGGGGGCACGATTGTTTCAGCGTGGTACTAAATCACTACTAAAATCACTTACTAAAATCACTACTAAATGTAGAGGGTTGGTATTGCTGGACTATGAGAGAGCGACAGCAAAACTCTTTCGGGAATTGGACAAAAAGCTACAATCGGGAATGACACACGAGTGTGCCGCCAGGGAAAAATATACGTGTGAATTTTATTAGGATTTTCCATGATTACCGTTCTATAATCCTACGGTCGTTGTCCTACGGGTCTACATAGGCACGCCGCAGGCACACCCGCACGCATGCAGGCACGCACGGCACGCACGCGCGCCACATGCATGCGCGCAGGCACACACGCAAGCACGCGCGCCGCAGGCAACCGGCACGGCGGCGCGAGGCACAGATG